ATGATTCTTGCGTTAAACGGGTTAATTTTTAGAAAAACATTCTTTGAAGAGCATGTTTTTTACTTCGGAAATAAAAAAATGAACGTTGTGAGAATAATCTTAATATATGATATATATATATATATATATCTCGTATTATTTACCTTATTTCTACCTTATTTTCGTGCGCGGTTAGTATTGCATCAGTCTGCGAGTCATTGAAATTGCGACGTTATGCTATGACTCGGCAATTCTGCGAATTTTCGCAAAGTCAATTTGTATAATGAAAAGCGAAAATAGAAATCCTCTAGATAAAGAAAAATATCCGAATATTCAGTGAACTGATTCCGATATCCATCGAAACTGTTTTGTTACTCTGAATATTTATTATTAAAGGAGTAATGCATCGTGCTTAGATATCTTTTGACAAGGACATTTTTTAATAATCAACTTATATTTAGGGAATGCATCATTTTCCGTCATCAATGTCATATTTATTTAGAGAAGGAATATTGTTGGGAATAAATGTGAGCATCATTTTTGAAAGCTGAACTCAAATAGGAAATTATAATTGTTTCGGTTTCTGATAAATGGGGACAGATGTATGTATAGGGTACTGTAAAAGTAATCGCCTTACTTCCATTATTAATCCATTATTAATCCACTAAAATTGAGATAAAAATGCAAATTCTAAACAACAATTCAAACTTAATTTTTGTCATTAAATTATCAGAAATATTGATAATCGCTTTAAATGCGCAAATGTTTGCTCTCTCAATTTTCTGTTGAACATTACACATTCAATATTCATGAAACAATTTGTTAGTATTTTTCGATTACGTACTTGTGATCTATGAAATCTTAAATCGACGAATTGGTCTTTAAATTATGTACACAGTTTAAACTCTCGATTTCCGGATCGTCGACGAAATTCGCCAACTGAATTATTAATAATTAAATTGTTATTTCTGGTATATATATATACGTTAATTAGGTTAGTCTCGTGATATATACGTTTAAAATATACTTATTATTCTTTCATAGCCTATTAAAAATATGATTCCTTAAAATGAGATGATTTATTTTGCAGCGTTCTGTACATAATATATAACATTAGAATTATAGAGAACCTGAAAGAATGATGCAGAATATTAAGATTCTGGAACATTCTGCATGATTCTACGTGGTTCTTTGTAATTCTTCTTCTTTTTTACTTATTGACTTTTTGGTTCTAAAGAAAATGATAGGACGATACGGCTCCGTAAGATCATATAAGATCCGTAATTCTGTCCGACGCAGACCTCGCGTATCGACTTTGGCAACAATAGCAACAAAGAACATTCTAGAATCTAGAGTTTAGAGTGTTCTTTATTGCCATTGTTGCCAAGTCAATACGCGAGATCTGCGTCAGTTCGCATATCGACCAGTGACGTACGCAATCAGTGAACCAATCAGCGGCATCATCGATGCTCTTCGACCAATCGGATACGAGCATGCGTCATTCTCAGTCATACGTGATTTCGTGGTATAAAAGCAAGGCTCGCGACGCTGGCTGCTTTAATAGTCATTGTGAATTTGAGTAGAGAGGAGTTTATTTCACGACAGTTGTCAAGTCGTCTTGCGTGAAAATTACACGTAGTGAGAAGCTTTCAAACAAAAGGTATGTTCATTATACTTATCGATATATTAATTTTTGGTTTTGAAATTTTTGCCCTTGGTCGAAAAGTCTATTTATTCATGCAAACGAGGCATGAATAGTAATGATGATAATCATAGAATTTGTCCGATAGCCATCGAAATACTATGTTTAATAAGAAATGTCGAAGATTTGCATGAGTCATTTCCAAATGTGTGTTCTATACGCGCACATTATCGATCGTTATTTCGAGCCTATTGGCTCTGTTGCTAGGCGGAATAGATTATTTTGATTGGCGTTTTTTTATTGAATCGGTACATTTCGAAATCTAATCGAAAAGTCGTTTTGTATCTGCATCAGCATGAGAGGCATGTAGGAAATGAGCAAAAAGCTAGAATTAAAGTATCTGTCATTACGTTTTCTCGGAGTAACATGGCGTCATACGCTTGGTAACGAGCAATGACGAGCAACTAAAACCAACCAAAATGGCAGTCCTTGATTTTACTGCGTCATGTAAGCAGCTTTGATCTGCAAACAGTCAGCTTTCTCAGTTTCGTAATTAAAATAATTTTATTCATAAAGGTGAATGCGATTTATTTATTTTTTTAAATCTGTCTACATTTATACTTGTAACTTATCGATGTTCTTCGAAGTGTTCTCATTTTGTAAATAATTAGAATCGATTTATTTAGATATTATGTATATAAATATAAATATATACATATATATATATGATTATAATATAATATATGTATATATGATTATATATACATATATTAGGTGTAGTAAAAAGAAATCCATAATTTTTCCATTCAATTTCATGCAAAAATAATGGATTCTTTTTACTACACCTAATATATGATTAAAAGATAATCGTCCATATAACGTGAAATTTTATTGTAGAGCACCATGCAGATTTTCGTGAAGACATTGACCGGGAAGACCATAACTCTTGAAGTTGAGGCTTCTGACACCATCGAGAACGTAAAAGCAAAGATCCAGGATAAAGAAGGCATCCCACCTGATCAGCAGCGTTTGATATTTGCTGGAAAGCAGCTGGAAGATGGACGTACTTTGTCTGATTACAATATTCAAAAGGAATCCACTCTCCATTTGGTCCTCAGATTGCGTGGTGGAATGCAGATCTTTGTCAAAACCCTGACAGGAAAGACCATTACATTGGAAGTTGAGGCATCAGACACGATCGAAAATGTCAAGGCCAAAATTCAAGACAAAGAAGGAATCCCCCCAGATCAGCAGAGATTGATCTTTGCTGGAAAACAACTTGAAGACGGCCGTACGCTTTCTGATTATAACATTCAGAAAGAATCCACATTGCATCTAGTCCTCCGTCTACGTGGTGGAATGCAGATTTTTGTCAAAACCCTGACAGGAAAGACCATCACGTTGGAAATTGAGGCGTCAGACACTATCGAGAATGTCAAGGCCAAAATTCAATACAAAGAAGGAATCCCCCCGGATCAGCAGAGATTGATCTTCGCCGGAAAACAACTTGAAGATGGTCGCACACTTTCTGACTATAATATTCAGAAGGAATCTACCTTGCATTTGGTATTGAGGCTTCGCGGTGGTATGCAAATTTTTGTTAAAACGCTTACCGGTAAAACAATCACTTTGGAAGTCGAAGCGTCGGACACGATTGAGAATGTCAAAGCCAAAATTCAAGATAAGGAAGGAATTCCTCCGGACCAGCAGAGGTTAATCTTCGCCGGAAAACAACTTGAAGATGGTCGCACACTTTCTGACTATAATATTCAGAAGGAATCTACCTTGCATTTGGTTCTCCGTTTACGTGGTGGTATGCAGATTTTTGTCAAGACATTGACAGGAAAGACCATCACGTTGGAAGTTGAGGCGTCAGATACTATCGAGAATGTCAAAGCCAAAATTCAGGACAAGGAAGGAATCCCACCGGACCAGCAGAGGTTGATCTTCGCCGGGAAACAACTTGAAGACGGTCGTACACTTTCTGACTACAATATTCAAAAGGAATCCACATTGCATTTGGTTTTGAGGCTTCGCGGTGGTATGCAAATTTTTGTCAAAACGCTTACCGGTAAAACAATCACTTTGGAAGTCGAAGCGTCGGATACGATCGAGAATGTCAAAGCCAAAATTCAGGACAAGGAAGGAATCCCACCGGACCAGCAGAGGTTGATCTTCGCCGGGAAACAACTTGAAGACGGTCGTACACTTTCTGACTACAATATTCAGAAGGAATCCACATTGCATTTGGTTTTGAGGCTTCGCGGTGGTATGCAAATTTTTGTCAAAACGCTTACCGGTAAAACAATCACTTTGGAAGTCGAAGCGTCGGATACGATCGAGAATGTCAAAGCCAAAATTCAGGACAAGGAAGGAATCCCACCGGACCAGCAAAGGTTGATCTTCGCCGGGAAACAACTTGAAGACGGTCGTACACTTTCTGACTACAATATTCAGAAGGAATCCACATTGCATTTGGTTTTGAGACTTCGCGGTGGTATGCAAATTTTTGTCAAAACGCTTACCGGTAAAACAATCACTTTGGAAGTCGAAGCGTCGGACACGATCGAGAATGTCAAAGCCAAAATTCAGGACAAGGAAGGAATCCCACCGGACCAGCAAAGGTTGATCTTCGCCGGGAAACAACTTGAAGACGGTCGTACACTTTCTGACTACAATATTCAGAAGGAATCCACATTGCATTTGGTTTTGAGACTTCGCGGTGGTATGCAAATTTTTGTCAAAACGCTTACCGGTAAAACAATCACTTTGGAAGTCGAAGCGTCGGACACGATCGAGAATGTCAAAGCCAAAATTCAAGACAAGGAAGGAATCCCACCGGACCAACAGAGGTTGATCTTCGCCGGGAAACAACTTGAAGACGGTCGTACACTTTCTGACTATAATATTCAGAAAGAATCCACATTGCATTTGGTTTTGAGGCTTCGCGGCGGTATGCAGATTTTTGTCAAAACTCTCACTGGTAAAACTATTACGCTGGAGGTCGAAGCTTCAGACACGATTGAAAACGTGAAGGCGAAAATTCAAGATAAAGAAGGCATTCCTCCCGATCAACAAAGACTAATTTTCGCGGGCAAGCAGCTAGAGGATGGACGGACTTTATCCGACTATAATATTCAGAAAGAATCTACACTTCACCTTGTACTTCGACTTAGAGGCGGAGATGTCTGATTCCATTGTGATCTCTACTAAAGCATTGTATTAAATCATTTAATTATATTATAAATTCTATTACCTAAGTTTTTAATTTTAATAATTCGCACATGCAAATCTTTCGTAGGAAATCTTGACGAATAAAGAAATTAATTTTACATGCTATAATAATGTCTTGTTTTTTATAATCGTCTGATTCTTTATAATAAAACTATCAATAATAAAATATTGATATTGTATTTGTATTATCTAAAATTTTCTTGATTATGTTTGTTATTTGTGTAGATTGAACTTGTTTAATGTATTATTTCTAATAAGAGAATTTTTTATATAAACTTTTGTTCTTTAGTCTTTTTAATGAAAATATATAAACGAATAAATAATTTAACAAAGTAATGATCATTTATACTTATGGCTGTTGAACTTCTATTGTTGAGATTTTTCTTTCCAATGTGAAGAAAATGAAGAAGGCTGAATACTGCGAGAAGTTAAAAAAAAATTATTATATATCTTTCTTTTTATGATAAAAATGTTGCTTGTTTAGAAATAAATATACTTGTCAACAACTTGTAAAAACTATCTGAAAGACATTCGTAATAGCAAATTTTTCATGAAAACTTTCCTTTATCGCTAACTGATGGCGCCACTAGGTCTTCTTTCCGTGAGAATGACTGATCTGCACTGTCTGTGCTTATTGTTAGCAAATTCATGGACTTGAGCTCAATATATCGCTGACATTCGTGTATATTTATACAGTGTATTCAATTATACATGCTATGTTTCTGTAAATAACAATGCAATTTAGAAGACAGAAATAAAATTATAAAAACATACTGAGTTTATATAAAATACTGAGTTTGATATAAATGAAATGAAAAGCGAAAAATTATATTTGTGTATTAATATTACTTTCTTCTGAAGAATTTAAAGTATAGTATTTTTAAATCAAAATTTGTCTGAGATTTTGGAAATAAAAAAATAATTTTATAAAAATAATTTAAACTTGAGTTTTACAAAATGTATAAATAATTAATTGCATCAATATAACGAAAATTTTTATTTTAACAATTGTATTTTTGCAAATAGATTTTTAATAAAAGAAATTTTTGATAGATAAAAAATATTTTTTTTCTTATCTAAAATTAATAATTTCATAAAAAATTGTTTCTACAAGAAAATTAGTAGTTAAATTTTTATAAAAATTTATTTTTATATAATAGAAGAATTTTTATTCTAAAAAATTAGATAGTTTCTCTTAGAAGGTATTCAATATAATATTGTAAAAAAAGTTGTTGAGGAGAATTTTATTAATTCAATTTTTAAAAATACATTTTTATTTAGAATAAATCTGTTTTTGCACATAAAAAGACGCGAATTACTCTTACATAAACCATTCAACAATAATAATATTAAAAAACCTTTATAGAAAAAATTAACAGTTTAATTATAATTTAATTTTTATAAGCATATTTTTATTTATAATAGAAGAAATATTTTAAATAAAAATATAAATGATTTCAATTACACAAAAACTACTTAATAATATCGTGACACAAAAAGCAATTCAATAGAAAAGATGAGAATAAATTTATTTCAGAGAATATTTAATTTGAAAGAAAGTTTGTTATCGGTACAGATCTCATCTTATTTTCATGTACGAAATAAAAGCGATCGTAATTGTTACCGTTGTTGCATTCTACAATTATTTGTGGCGCGCGTATTCGAGTGAGTAATGAATTAAAATTTTCGCGCGCCAGTGAGATGCAAAAGTATTTTTTTCAACGCGGAATTCAATAACCATCCACAGTGAAAAACATGTAATTTTACTGATAACATATTTTTCTACCGCACTCGTCCTTTTCAATCTTTCGAAAAACATAGTTGTACGATAACTATCGTTTACGAAAAATTACATATTGGAAGGCAACTAAAAAAATGTGTTATTTTTATTTGTCCATTTTACACTAATAATTTATTTGTTACTTTCCAAATAATTTTTTTATCGTAGTTATAAAAAAATTCATATAAAATAATTGAAACGATAATAGTAGGAATCTAAGCAGAACAAGCCATTATGATATCAAAATAATGTCTAAAATGATCATTAAAAGTTATTTTTCAATCATTTCCGATTCATTTTAATATCATTTTGACATTATCGTGGCTTATTGTTCTGCTTTGGAAGTAATTTAAATTACAGCGCGTAGAATTAGTGCAAAATGTAATATAAAATAATATATATAATTTATATAACACAATATAATAATTTAGTTAGATTTTAGAATAAGCCTTATTCTAAAACTAATAGAGTCACGTTAATGCTTTTCGGGAATCTAATCTTTTTTTTTTGAAGAAATTAGAATTTTGCCTAATAATATTCTTTCACATTGATGGCGTAATTTCAATTTTTTTAAATCTATGAAGCATCAGAAGCTCTGATGAGGATGACGCTCTTCATGGAATATTACACTCCTCAATTTCCTCTCCTGATAAAACGAATCAAATCCAACAGTCGTTCTATACCGATGATTTCATTTTCGCTTTGACGATCCCGCTTTCGGATGGATACACGCGACACACATCGATCAGTACACGCAAGCATGTGTCACACTCGTGTGTGCGTGTGTATATTTATGTGTACGGCTAATGATGGAAGAAAACGTTATCCACAGGGAGGCGGGCGAGTCCGTGTACCATACCCAGTACGCCTTGTACCTTAGGTAGGGCTGAGAGAACTCGAAGAGAGAATCACGGACTTGCGTTCAGTCTAACTCGGTCCTCGAACTGGTCCCGTGTGCTTGGCGTGCAGCGTAACTGGCGTCAGTCACAGCATCCGCGTGGTACTCGCCGCGTTGCCGCTTCCCTGACGACGCGAGATAAGCTTCCCCCGACGCCGTTGGGCACAACAGTGCAGTACAGATCCGCGTCATTCCGTAAAAGCGAGCTTCGTGCAGAAGACAAAGTCAAAAGTTTTATTCCATCCCTTGGCGATTCCATGAAAGAACTAAATTCTTATCATATTAAAGTATCTTTGTAGGAAAAACGCAGACGTACCAAAAAAAAGATTTATTACACAATACAATTTAAATTAACTTTTTATTAAAATTTTTTATAAAAAAATTAAAATGTTTCACGCTAAATTTTAATCACTTTCCGGCAAACGCAATTCCATGATTCTCTCTTCGACCAACTAATATTACATTAATGTTATAATTTTCCATTTAATGATATAACTAATAAAATGTTATATACAATATGTGTTATATTATATTTATATTGTCGAGTAGGAATTAAATTATATCAGTAATGTAATGTTACTGTTGGTTTGCATTTGTCAACTAATAGTAATATTACAGCAATGTTATAATTTTCCATTCAGTAATATAACTGTTATCTACAATATGCGTTATATTATATTTCTTGTTGAATAAGAATTAAATTATATCAGTAATGTAATATTACTGTTAGTTTCCATTTGCTGAGTTCTTACTTACTTCGCGAAAAATAGACTTCGGAAGTACGCGTTAGCGGACATTCAACTCTCCTTCAACTCTCCTCACCTTCACGATGCTATAAAAAGAAACGCCCAAACTTATATCGTCGAAATAACTACGCACAAAAATCTGTGTATAAAAATTTTTATCTTTGTCCAACGACTTATCTAATGATTCATATGAAATCAGTAGGGAGACAAGGCAGTAATTTAAAGAAAAACAGGAAAAGGGTTGTGAAGGAAACCGGATTTTTTCCTTCCTGCATTAAGTTGGACTGATGAAACAGCGGAAACGTTAAAGTATCGTCGATAGGAGAGTGAAGCGAGCTGGCGTTGTATGAAACAAGAGATCCATCAGTGAAGATGAGTGGCTTGACGGTTTGTTTGATACTCCTCTCGACAGTGCTGGGTAAGTTACGAGATACGTCAGAAATGTCTATTAACTGGTACCCTTAACACCTTGAGTTCTAATCACGCACCTCTTGTGGCACACCTTGAGTTCTAATCACGCACCTCTTGTGAAGATTATTATACTATATCCTGAGAAAGCACAGTCGAGTTTAGAATATCGGAAAAATGTTGATTTCTGGTAAACATCAAGTAACAATATGACATCAATATATTATAATTTCCTAATCACAATATAATTATTATGCACAACATGTGTTTATATTACCTACCTTTATGTTGTTGAGCGGGAAATCATTAATATTATTATAATGTTACTGTAGTTTATGTTTACCATGTTAAACGTATCAAAAATATAATCATTATTAAATCATTATTAAATTATTATTATTATTTGATGAAGATCGATTTCTTAAATTTTACATATTTGAAAAGAAACTTGTGTCCGCAAAGGAAAGTAAATTTTTTCAACCGTTTCAAAGAAAAGAAGTACATTCTTCATTTTCAAATGAAGTACAAATTGTATTAGTAATAACTGAGAAACTCTTCGCACTTTATTCACTGAATGTTCAAGGAAACTCGGGATATTGAAGAAGACTTTATCTCACGTTTGCATAAAATTAAATTTTCACGATTGCCGTTCGACGTTATTTGATTGTTATCAATTACAGTCGATCAGCATAACGGAAGCGAAATGGAGAGCCCAAAATTCCAATTAAACCCCACTTGCAGAATCGCCAAAATGAACAAATACAAGTATATAACAGGCGTATGCCTGTATATTTGACGCAGAATGATTTTGTATCAAAAATAAAATGAATAAAAAAACAAATAACTATTTACGTAACTATTGAGTTTGCAGTGGAAAAAATAGCGAATTCGATTTATAGAATAATAATAAAATTTATATTTTAACACACACATATTTCTCTTTCTTTCTCTTTTGATTGAAAATGTTCGTGAAAATATAAATTTAAAAAAATATATGTACAAAAGTATTAATAAATTTAATGATGTGAATTTTATTGCACTTTGTCCGCGAATATATAAAATACATTCTATGTCGAAGCCTTTTATCGACGAAGGACCCATACAGAAATTAAACTCCAGAAATAGGAACAAAAACGTTCCATGAATCGTTAAATACGCTTCTGCGTCGTGTTCAACTCGCATTCATAAATTTGCTGTTCTTTTTCTTGCTGCATATTGTCTGACTGTAACATACAGCGTCGACCTTACCATCGCCGATTCTCGTACGCGAAGCATCGAATATAAACCACACGAGTCCGCGATGTCCTACAACACCGGCCTTCGTCCATTAATTCTTCGCTCAGTTCGATGTCCGTTAGAATAAAAGCACCGATTTTTTTTTTCGTCTTTAATTTTTAATGAAGTCACGAATTCGGGTCATTTCTAAAGTAAAATCAACTTGAAGCTAAAATGTAATATTTTGTCATCTCGCAGCTTTGACGTTTAATTATCGAAAATCGCCGCA